AAAAAATATATTGTAGTTTGTTTGTGTTGATATGTTATATCAACAGTCATTATACAGGGCGTTCAAGATACCAAAAACATATAATGCGTAATGCCAAAAGTTAGGTTATATCTTTTATATCCCTGGGTGCACTATCTTGTTAACCAACAGTTTCCAACTTTCGTTTTTTGCCAAAAATAGTCGAAATGAATTCTAATATTGCCAAACTGCGAAATGGATCAATCCGGTTGTATCCCAAATTTATTTTTCATCGCGACTACATTACATTTCCTTGCCCTTACGAAATGGAAAAGTGAAATGTTACATCTTCATTTTCTTTAATTAAAAATTACTAAATTAATTTGCTGACTTTTGTAGCATCGTCGAGAATCACCAATTTCCGACATCCCGTTCACCCGCAAATTGCGTTTGAAATTTTAACTCCACCACCGAATAGATATATTTCAGCTTAATCGGTTCAACCGTTCCCTTTTAAATATTTTCAGAAATGGCCCAGCAGTCAAAAAGGCATTGTGAATTTTGAATCTATTAAACCCAAATTTTGGCGTCGCCTATTGTATGGTGTCGGCTATGCTTATTTTGAAATTCGTGCAATTCCTATCTATAAATTTGATAAAGAATTCATCTGCACAATTACATCGCAATTGGTGCGGTGGTTCTATTCTGGTTGGACATAAAAATCGAGCGAGCGAGCGATTGGGAGAAAGCATAACATTCCTTTTTAAACAACTATGTAGACCCTAAAAACATAGAAATAGAAGTATAAGTAATATAAAAAGTGTGATCCAGCTTTTGACATTGCGTATTATGTTTTTGGTATCTCGAATGCCCCGTATAATGACTGTTTATAGAAAATATTAACGCAAACTAACGACAATATATTTTGTTAGAGAATATTCTGTCCCGCGTCCATATGTCCTCGCGCCATTATGTCCCGCGCCAATTTGTTTTGCGCCCTTTTGTCTTCGCGCCCTTATGTCCACGCGCCCTTGTGTCTCGCGCCCTAACGGCCGCGCCCTTATGGTCGCGCCCTTTCGGCGGCGCCCTAATGTCCTAGACCGTATTGATGCAGGTTATAGAAAACTCCTAAAGATCTTACACTTTGATTCATATTTGATTCAAATTTATTTTTTGAAATACGCTTTATGAAGGATGTTTTATCGTAGCAGGGCCGCCCAGACAATTTAAGGGGCCTGGGACAAAGTAAATTTTGGGGCCCTGTTTTGGAATAGAAAAAATTTCAAAGAAAATGTTAATGTGCCAACGGCAACTCTATTGCTGTTTCATTCATCCTCACAGATCCACGGCCAACACGGGGGCCCTTTGAAATCTGGGGCCTGGGGCAAATCGCCCCAGTTGCCCCCCTCCCCTCTGGGCAGCCCTGTATCGTAGATATAAAGCTGTCGAGATGTATAGTAGGTACCGGATTAGAAAGAAAATAAATTATTGTTAATTCACATATAAGCCACCAGCAACCAAAATTGTGTGTTTAAGATCACGGGTTTTTAGGTTTAAAAATGTATAGGTATATATACCGATGTTACTATCATTACTGATAAGTGATAAGGAACTGCAGTTTTCAAAAATTTAAAAAAAACCTAGCTTAGCTGTTTGAAGCTAGTCGTTAACTTGGCGGCAATGGATACAAATACCAACTAATTGAAATTGAAACTCTTTGAAACCAATGCGGGGTGTTAATTTACTTTAAAACCCAACTTTGTGCTAATTTTTCCTCTTTGACCAATCAGGACTTGGCATTTTTAAAATGATGTTTGCACTAAGCACATTTTTAATTGAGAAATGGATCAACCTGCAGGAGTTTTGAAAACTTTTTCTTGAAACATTTACGTTTGTTTACCAATAGCTATAATTAATTGGGGAGGGTAACGTGAAGAATTACAATTCATTTTTTTATTTTAAATAATTTCAGATTTTATAATTACATGGGGAATAAGTAAGCAATATTTTATAGGAAATTAAAATAGAACTTCTTTGAAGACAAAAACCCTAATAAACTATAATTTTATTCTCAACCGTTTTGAAGATATAGGGCAAGAATTGTCAGTTTATTTTAACTACTCAATAAGGCGGTTATAAATCAATTGTTTCAGCCAACTATAGTCCCCTTGAGTGTGACTGCATCAAAGGCTCAAAAATTCCACCTTATAGTTATACGTTACTTCACCAACACAAATTTTATATTTTATAATTTATATTTATATTATTTATACAATCAACTTTTGCAATAGTGCAGTGTTTGTTTATACTCAATTGTTACCCCAAGCCGACTAGTTGACTAGAGACAATTGATTTATAGCCGCTTTATTAAAAATGACAATTGTTGGCTATATTTTCGAAACGGTTAAGAATAAAAATATATAGTTTATTAGCGTTTTTGCCTTCAAATAACTTCTATTTAATTTCCCAAAATGTTGCCATTCCTCCTAGGGGTATTTTGTAGGTCGATGATCAATTAAATTAAAATTTAAATAGCGAAACATTAAATATCTGCCGTTTTTCAGTACCTAAGTCTTATTTTTTCGGTTTAGAGAAGTACCTACTATAGGTACATGTCATTTAATTGAAAATAGGTAGGTAAAGTCTTTAAAGTGTGCTTCTTGAAAATAAACTAGGTGGTACCTACCTATTTGCATAGGTATTCTTAGAATTTTTTGTAAGTGGCGAATATTGTAAAATTGTGCAAACACTTGCGTATTTTAGACATGAACCATCAAGTACGATTCCTTCATTTTCTATCATTGGCGGCCCAGTGAATATTTATTTATTCATCTCTTATCTGAAATAAAATCACTGATACCTATACCGCCAAATTAACCCTAACACTGCCTACACACAAAACTATAGTAAACGAGTTCCTGGGTCAGTGAAAATGTAATCAGTTCTTCCTTGGATGATGATAAACATAATACTGAAAACAAACTTGGATAATTCGAAACTGTTCGCGTGCTATTATGTACACAGACCGACGGACGGACGAGCGGACGAACAGACGGACGGAAAGAAATCTTGAACTCCCTTTAGGAGCTCGTTAATAAGTATATACATTGAAAAAAGGCTCTATCAATACCTATTCAAATGTCTGTAACTATTATAGAAGTAGCTATAAGCATTTTTATAAAAAAGTAAGGAATTTTGACGAACAAATATCCAAATTATGGGGCAAAAACAGTGTCGTCGACGGTTCGACACCTATCCGCTGCTTTGGTGCAAACCAACAAGTTTAATTAAAAATTAAATGTTGTGCAATTTCTTGCACTGTTCATGCAAGCTTTCGACCCAGCTCGTTAATGATTTTTGACTTTCTGTCCGTCCGTCCGTCTGTGTACATGATAACTCGTTAGCGATTTCGCATTTTCCAATTATGTTTTCAGTAATAGGTAGACAATGGTCAAGGAACTAACTAAGAACTTTTGGTCATTTGGACTTTCTGTCCGGCCGTCTGTGTTTGTCGCTCGTTGTCTATATTGGTTTGAAACAGTATTTATTTAGTGTGAGTACATTTAGAAAGGTAATTTTTCCGGGTATTTTTATTATCAATATTTTCGATTGGAAACTTTTTTTAAACCATAAGTATCCAGAACTGCAGTACTATTGCGCTGGAACTACGTCCAGCCATCAGGTTTAAAATGAGATACCACAGGAAGTTGATTGGTTCCTTTTGGACTGAGTATTTAATTAAATAATTGGCGTCTTTACTAAAATTCAATGTGTATATATTTATTACCTACCTACCTGTAAGTGCAAATAATTAAATCTCCGATACCTATAATGACCGCTGTTTATATTTTTCGATGGACTGTCCTGTATATCTGCCTATACTTTACCGGCGGGTGCAGATTTGACTGCGAGAAAACAACATTCAATTTTCTTATAAGGAGAATTCCTGCACAAAACCTAAATACGTTTTTCCTCTAAGTCTATTTGGGACTTTACTTGTGCCGAGTCTTTTGCAACTTACTATGTTCTGATCCTGATGGACATATGTTTTGTCAGCATGTAAATAATATATACCTAACATTTGGTGTGTTGTAGAGTTCAGTTAAAATTTGGTTGTAATTTTTGAAGGAATGTCGTGGTGCATTATTGAAATTGTAGAAAATGATTTACCTACCTACAGAGCAGTGACATACGATAATTTGCTAAATCGGGGATTACACTGAGGAAATCCAAGTAACGATCGTTTGACTAAGTAAATGTTCAGATTCCAAAATGCAGGGCTAGATTAAGCGAACATTGCCCCCCCCCCCTCCCCGTCCTTCCTTTATATTCACATCTGATGTGGTAGTTCATATTTTTCTAACGCGACTTTTTGAGAACTTTGAGAAGCAATTTTTTACAGATTTGTCAGTAGTATGTTATTGAATATTAGACATTTGTAGGTAATTAATTTCTGTTTAGCACTCGGATAGTCGACAGTTTTTATTCCACCAAAGCGTTCCTTCTACGAACATTAACTATCTCACCAGTACCTACAGCAAGTACCTCATTTCGGATCGTAGGTACATAGGAGATAAACTTTTGCATTTTTTTATAATGAAATTGTATCTTAAAAAGAAAAGGAAACTTACACTGCCTTCTAATCACAGTCATTTGAGTATTGATTCTATAGCAAAATTCTTATTGGTGTTGTCTTCGTCAGCAGTATCACTTGAAATTAATATACTTATAATAGAGCCCCTCTAACTTGCCCTTAGGATATAGAGATTGTAGACTTCAAAAACGATGGAGTTGTAGGTTTTAAGATGTAATTTTGAAGTATGCGACGGCATCATGCACTTTCAAAATATAGCATATCGGAATAAAAGCAAAGCTGATTTTAATTTTACATAAGTATATATATTTACATATAAGTTAATATAGATATACACTGTTATGTTATACACTTGGTAGATCTTTGTACAAGATAATTTCATTCTAAAGTCATTATAATTGCATATAGGTATAATCGAGTAACTATAAAAACAAAAATTTTGGTTAGCTTCAAGATATTAAACATTTACCTTTTAGAATTTTCAAATTCAAACACAAATAGTCACTTTAAATGTATACCTATAAATATATATCAATATCACGTTCGTTTAAGGAGAATCCAGATTATCTGTGTTAGACGGTTCGTCTTTAGGTGGTCCCGATCGCGACTGTAACAGCGCCTGATAATAATTAACGATAGGAAATATCGGCCACTGTTTTGGTGAGGGTTGTTCTTGGTGGTGCTCTCCACTTACCACATCAATATCTTCCTCGGTCGTTTCCTCTCCGGAATCCGGCGCTAATAGTGAGGCAACGTCGAACTGTCGCTTGCGAGATGGCACCTTTGTATTTACGGGTACCTGGAATACGGATGTTGAAGGTCCTGGTACGACTGGAGGACTGACAGAAATCGGCGGCGGACTCGGAGAATCCGTACCATCTTCATCCACCGCTAATCCCATGTGTTTCCTTACTTTTCTTTGCGCTTTGCGTCTTCGAAAATCACCCTTACGGAAATCATCTACATTTGCGGGATGAATAGCCCAATAATGACCTTTGCCATTTGCACTTCTCCCCGCTTTAATAAAGCAATCGTTTAACGATAAATTGTGTCTAATTGAGTTACGCCAGCCTGGGCCCCTTGTACGAAAATAAGGGTAATTATCTAGTATGTGTTGATAAATATCTGAAAGCACTAGTTTTCCTTCTGGAGTACTTAAAATTGCCATTGCGATTAACCCAATGTAACTGTGTTGCGGTTTAGGTTCCTCCGGTTGTAAAGCACGTGGAAACAGCGCCGGGTAACACGGAAGAGGTGTTGGAAAAGGATTTAATAAAGGATATCGAAGTCGTTCAGCGACGGCGTATTGATATAATTGAAGGCGATACTGGTCGATTGGCATGAGTGGTCTAGGTGAACTGTTTGCTTCTAACGCTGAAAATGGTAGCGGTAGTCGAGGGGTTGGTGTTGCTGGACTTTCGTTACTACACATTATCACGATTCAACTGTTCAGAACACAAACACTATTTCACCAAGAACATTTTTATTTAAAACAGTTCACTCCGAAAATGCGTGAAAACTCGCAAGAATACAAACTGGCTAATGGCCTTTTTCAGTTTGTGGGGGTTTACTAGGTTAAATATTATAAATCAAGCCTGTCAGTCAAGAGTGAATAAGCTAAACTAAAGGACTAAAGGACCCATCTGGGTCTCTAAACATATAACAAACACAACTATTTGTCGACCAATATTTGCCAACAATCCAGAGGCGGACTTCAAATAGACCAATCAGCAAGGTCTGCACCCTTCCGGGATACATGGAAACCCCGCCTCGCCATCTTGTTACTTCCTAGTGGAGTAATAATACCCAGTTTTTATGACAGGGACAGGGAATTTCCTATTCGAGGGAAGAGTTAGCAACGAATCTTTTTCTACATTCTTTGCGTGCGGATTTGAATTCACGTTTTGTGTATAAGTATTTAGGAAATGAGAAAAAATCTCTTTTTCAGATTAACATGAGCAATACCCAAAATAAGTCATTAATAAATGCATAGGTTGTTAATTGTACAAATAAGACATGCCGTATAAACGATTTTAATTAACCTGCTTGTTAAATTGTGAATATACCTATTCCCGTGTTTCTAGAGTGCCATAAAATGCTCCACCCAGTTATACCCCACCAAACACCAACTTCTCTCTCTTAATAATGATGTTACTACATTTACAGTTGCTCCTTAAGTATTATTATTCCTTCAAACAAGGCATCAGCTACATAGGTTCGCTTGAATCTTCGCAAAATAACGGAGGATGCCAATTCCCAATTAAAACGTGTTCTATGAATGCCTCTATTTCCGGCACAGATAGAGACAGGGTATGTTTTTCACTTATCTAATCAAGCTTACACATTCTGCGTTGGAAAATTCGCCGAAAAACAACAAAAAAGGAAAGGCATACTAGACTGATGCCTAAGGAGAAATAACTGAAATTCTCCAAAGTGATTCTCTTTATCGTCTTGTTTATCGGGACTGCGTGTTTGTTCAGGCGACATTTTTATACTTAGTTGTCACATAAATTAGAATTTTATATACCTAATCCAGGAAAATTATCGAATTTATATAGGTACTTTGATGTTTCAAACGATTTAGGTATCCAACAGCAAATTGGCGATTTGTAAAATAATAAAAGAAACCAAAAATTCAGGGAAAAATATTTTATTTTTGTCTTACAATCTGTGTAAAATATAGGTAGGTAATGAGTTTCTCTAAAAAATGTGTTTTGTCGTTTTAAGTGCAGCAAGGCTTATTTAAATTACGATTTTGGGTTATGCCTTTAGCTATAGGTACCTGATAGAATATTTTTCTGACATTTTTGTACGTTTTGGTAATCATTTTTGTTGGCCAAAGCGCCGTTTCGGTCAATAATATAGGTACGACAAAATGTTATTTAGAAAAGATGTGCATTATGTTCATATATAACTCCCCAAATATCGGACCACTTTGACCAAATCGCGCTATTTGATTTGCATATTGTGGCATTATAACTACAGAAAAAGATAGATAGGTAGGTACCTATTCTGCATAAAAACTATAAATATGCGTTATTAAGCGGCAGGGGTAGCGATGCCAGCTTTATAAGGGGGTCGATGGTGTCCGTCTGTTTGTGAACACGATAACTACCAAACGCTTGGGCCGATTCAGTTTCACGGATTCATTTGACACATGTAAGAAGCCTATTAAAAATGGGTCAAATCCAATGATCCAGGAGGGTCACACCGAGGTGGTCAGCCCGCAGCCGCTTTTTTAGATCCAATTTAGGGGTTATTATCAATTGTCATTTACTATCTGATCAAATACCTATTAATTTAGTATAATCAAAGTGACTCTTTATATTTGTGAAATTTTGCACATGGAGTTAATTTCATATTCTGAACTGAAGCACTTTTTTGTTTTTCTGTTATATATTCTCCAACGTGCCTTGCAACATGATGAGGAGACATTTAATAGCCAACAAAGTAGAATCATTTAGTACTTAGTATATCTTTTTACAAATTTTTCATGTTTATTATTTCTTTCTATGTTTACTTCAATCTATTGTTCCCACTTTGCCACGAGAATGACCTGTCATAGCAACCCCCCCTCCCAATTTTAAATTTGCCCTTTGCTACTGTTAGGCTTGGAACAAAATTAACAAAATTTAAATGATATAAAACCCGAAAAGCGAGCACACAACGTTCCAACGGAGCACTAAAATAATCATACTACTTATAATTAGTCTTTTGTAGGTAGTGCATCAAAATTTCTTTCTCAAAGTCTTCAGTGGCATAGGTAAGTAAGGGTTGGGGCAGCCGTCTTAAGAGCTCTTAGACTTAGTTCACAAATTTTTCTTTTGGGGAAACATTTTACAAACCTTTAGGAAGCGTTAAAACGCACGGCTTTGCAAATTATAACGATATTTATTTGATGGATTTGCTGTTATTTAATTTTAGGATAAGTATATATCGTGGAACAGCGTAATGTGCCATGGTTAAGCATAATGAAAAATAAACGAGCTCTAGATTAATTCTTTTTAGTAGACCCAAATCATGTAGGTACACTACTGCATTCTAGCTCTTGATGATCTTTCCTGTTTTCGTGTGTTCCATCATAGTGTAAAGAATATTAGACTGCTTGGCAAAGCCCTTACTGAAAGGGCTTGAAGCTCTAAGCACAAAGCCCTTAGTCAATGTGCTTCGATACTCAAGCACAAATTACTACCGGTCATCAGAAAGACTTGAAATTACAAATTACTTCTAAAAGGGCTTTGAACTTCAAGCACAAACCACTTTAGGACAAGGCTTGTACACAATTTGAGGGCTTGAAGCCCTGAAAGGACTTGAACACTTTTCCAAGCAGAACGCACTTTTAGGGAAAGGGCTTGAAGCACTTTTGCTCGAAGTCCTCTTATTAACGATCCTTGATATCGTTTATAATTTTGTCATTGTTGTTTGTCCGTATGTGCACGATAACTTTGTTTAGAAACGTCCGATCGCTTTGAAAATTGGTACACATGTTCTTAAGGATGTATGAAAAGTCCTATAGTTTTAGTCAGCTACGTAGACTGCCCAAAAACTTAAAAAAAATTTAAATTAAATTGTAAAATTTAAAACACAAACACATTCGCCACACTTTTAATAAAGCATACTGAATCTGAATGCTATGCACTATACCTATGCGATACACTGTTCTTAAAGAAGAAATACTGAGAGGTAATTTTTCGTACCACACAATGGTCCGTATGAATAAAAATAAGCAAATGCTTATACTTGCAAAATTCAGAGTAAATACTCGTAACTGCCCCTTCATACTGGTCTGTTTAGCATGGTTTAGCAGCGCTGCACTGCGTCCTGCCTTTCTGCTTAGAAGCGCTGCTAAGTCGCCCAGTGCGAAGGAGTACTTACGAGTATTTACCTGAAATTTTGCAAGTAAGTATAAGCATTTGCTTACATTTATTCATACGGGCCAATATTCATGTGTGATTAAAGTGCTTGAATAAAATTCTAATTTAGACAAGCACAGTGCTTGGAAGCCCTGAAAGAGCTTGAAAGCACTTTTACAAGCACAAAGCACTATTGAAAAGGGCTTGTAGAGGAAATGGGCTTGAAGTACTTTTCCTTGTAATTCAAAACCCCAAGCACTTTGGAAAAGTAATTCAATTACCAAGTCCTAATTACAAACACAAGAAAGTGCTTAAAGTTCAGGGCTTGAAAGTCCTGAAAGGACTTGAAGCCCTTTTACAAGCACAAAGTCCTCAAGTTCTGCCTAGCTCTGGCGTATAGTCATATTTTCAACTTTCTATAGTTTCTGATGGTTACTTTTTGTGTATTTTATTACTAATTGCGATTTGTCCTTTTTACCACCCGCATATGTCAATAAAGGGAGGTATTGCATTGGAATAAAAATAACCTCCCACTTTTTTTTTACGGAAATACACACTAGGAGTTCCGAATCCGAATCAAACACAATCGCGATGATGTCGGTCGGTCTGTCTGTCCTCTCATTTCCGGCTGAACTGATTGGAACGAATTAATTGATAGACACATTCTTAGATACAAAAAGAAGAGCTGGTTGGGCAGAATCGCATACGCGCAAGTGTGCTAAAGTACCAAAAAAAACTGGCAATTTTTGACGTCTTTTCATATCATGAACTTATGCATCAAATTGAACCAAATTTGGTACATTTTCTATAAACACTGAACTGAAATATATTTAGTCAAAATTGCGTTTGCGAAAATCATTAGATAATAATGTAGTGCAGTCGGTATGGAGGTTGGAGTTTACAAAAATGGAAAGTTTCTGAAACTTTGGTACCTATATACGTTGTTTGGCGATGTTCAGTAGCACTGTGCCCTATTTTTCAAAAAAATTTCGTTGCTAACTTCAGGGGATTCAAAAAACCTTGATATCTTTGGACTTTTTTTTATATTTTTGCTTCTAGCGCGCTAACCATCTGTTTTGATGGAAATACCTCACAAACTATACGGAGCTTTGAAGTTGGTTTAAAAATTCTAAAATTCAGAACAAGGCCATAATGATGCTGTTTTTCTTCAAACTTCAATATAACGTGATATTTCTCAACTCATTTCATGACATAAAAGTTTTACATTTTAGACGGTTATGCGTTGCCATGGTAGCGCATGAAAAAGTACTCCTTGTCATTAGCACTTAGCAGTGCAGTGCAAAAAGAGTAGGTAGGTACTTTGTTTGACGATCTGAGCGAAGTAAAAGTAAATTACCATAGCAACTCGGACTATGCGATATTGACATATTTTTTCGTTTATTTACCTATACATGGAGCACATAAATTCTATATACTTATAATACAGCAGGGAGAGTATTGAGCGTTTCCTTTTATATGGTAGGTATGTGGTCTCTTTGGCAAGCTACGACGCCGATTTTAACCTGTGCATGCTGACTGGACTAATCATAATTTTCTGATGTCACAAATAATGATGACTGCGCTTTCCTAAATACGTATAATAGCCAGTACATTACGTCAAGATTCCTTCACTCAACGGTAGTATGTACACGGTAAAAAACGTTAGCTATTTATAACCAACGTAAAGTTCTGCGAAAATACCTAACGATTTGTAAATTAATTTTACTGTAATACGTAACGTAATTTACCTTACCATCAATATTCACAGATTAATTCATGATT